GCGAAATTTCTAAGAGAATGGTTAGCCAATTTGTCAACTCTCAGAATGACGGGAAATGGAACTCGTGGTCAGAGCGCGAATTGTTGCGAAGTGGGCCGGCAGGAAAGTAAAAAAGGGGAAAAATCAATCGAAAACGCTCACGTTAAGAGCATGCTCACTTCTAAGTTGAAGTAATGGTGGAATGAGCACGAATAAGAAAGGAAAGGCAAGAGATCACAGCGGATGAGTGAGTATTAGGCACCAGTAAAGAAAAAAGGAAACTGTTTTCGTGACATAGTTTGATCAGATGTTTGCTTAATTGGAGCCGTCCAAGATTATGCACCTTCATTGGGCTAACGTTTCTGCTTCTTCGCTTTCGTCAGAGCCCGTTTTTAACTTTTCCAGGCTACGACGAAGGCAAAGAAGCCGCAACATTAGCCTAATAGAATTGTATAATCTTGGTGCGGTTTTGACGACGTCGTTGGTGGACTATACCCTTCAGCGCGCTGGGGTGTATGGCTGGGCTTCTTAACGCCCTTCCATCAATGACGTTTTATGACGTCATGACAACCGCACCGCCATCTTGCTATTGTGATCACTGCCTCAAAACTATGAGCTACTCACGTCTCTCAGCAAAGTTCAAATTCAAGACATTTGATGTGATAGAGATACTCGCGTATCTCTCTGTAGCGACGACACTAAAATCAGGAGTTGCCTCTGCTGCATCATCATTGGCTTCATCGACATCTGAAGCAGCCGTCGATTGAGGAGGTGACACCGCCTGAGGGGACATAACTAGAGATGGTGTGGTGGCTTCGGGCATGGCAATGACGGTATCTTCTCCAAACTCATCAGCTGATTGCCCAAGAGGAACAAACTGAAATCCTTGAGCAGTTCTCAATTGTTGGTACTCAAGCGGAGCAGCACCGTTCAGCTCACGAGTAATCCTTACATTGCTCGGAATCAACGGAGCATTTGTGAAATATCCAGGGATTGGAGGAGGATCATTGCCGTCCTGAATGTAGTGGATCAGTTGGCCGCCGTAGAGAAGGTGCTGGATGACAACGCGAGGTTTTCTTTTCTGTCGATTATGGAGGCTCAGCGACTGTCCTTCTCGAGGCGCCTTTTCACCACCTTCCTCCGTCTCATCAACTGCCTTCTGTTCCCCTTCGCGTGCCTGGTGCTCTCTCTGTATATGCCTTCGTCTTTCCTGCATGAAAATTCGTAAGTTCTTCTTCATTTTTCATGTGGTCAATCTGAACAAGGTCAATCTATCCAGAAGTGTGAATCGTGGTCGAGTATATATGAAAAGCAACAGTTCACATTACAAAGTTACTCCTAAAGTTATCCCCGCTGATATCCAGGCCGTATTGACGAGGAGGCAAGGCCATCGAACAGTATGTGGGAGAGGCTTTATGGCAGCTTGTTTCTGAAGCAAGGAATCGTTGCGTAGTATATGATACGCGGTGGGCGCCAGTGTAGGTAAGCCGTGGTCCGTCTTGATAGGGTCGCTGTGGGTCCAGGTTCTGCAAATCCTCATCCCGCAAGGTCGGCGGAAGAAGTACAGGCAACTGGAAATCGTCGCGTTTTTATAAACCCCTAAATCGAAATTTTGAGGAAACATTTCACAATCTCTAAATCAGTACTTCTTTCCGGCCGCTCCAGGCCAATATATGGAAGGCATATGTGGTGGCACATGCAATTGACAATCGGTGTAGAACAAATCCCCTTTTGAATAAGGAGACGAGCACTACTTTGGCTGAGGCGGAGAGACCACCGGTGCGTACAAGCCCTCTTAAAGTTACTCACCGGAATCCCTGGCCCCTCCTAGCTTAATGCCGCCATTATTATATTTGCGATGAGCGCCTATTTTCTGAGCGAAAACGATAAACACCCACCGCCTGAGAAACAGTAAACAAACCTCTTGGTTACATCCTCGACGATAGTTTTTGTAAATCTCCATAAGCTCTTTCGCAGTGGCGCTGGGTGGTCGCAAGAAGGGTCGTTCAGGACTCGGAATCTCTGTGAAGATACCCAACCGGCCTCACCTTCTGGATTCTTGCCTGCGGAATTCACGGACGTGTGGTGCTGCTGGAACGGAATTTCCTCATTGAAGCTGAATGAATATGTGTTGAAACTAAAATAATCAAAGATTTGGCGATCGTGTTCTTATACGCGTGCGATCATTTCCACGCCTAGGTCATCTCGTACCGATCACATCTGTTATACATATCTACGGAAGGAAGGTGGGAGTATGTAGGATAACCCAGACCCCAACCAGCGCTGACTTAAAGCAACACCCCCAACAGAAGTCGTGTCGAAGAATTCATTCAGTGGGTGGGAGAGAGTTGCCAGGAGTAGCACAGATGTGCCGTTGTCGCGGCTCGAAAGTGCGCGACAATGGCGCGAGAGTCTTACAAAGTCAAGCATTTCGGCGACTAATTTTAACACCTTGGCGAGACTACGCCGTGCAAACATCCCCAATGACAACTTAATTACCGCGTGGCCGCTGGCTAATTCAAATACCGCCCGCGGTATAAGTTTGGTCGTGGAGTATAGGCAAGTTCTGTAGCAATACTCGTCTGGCCCCGCCCTTCTTATTTTGAACTGGAATCCTTGCTTAGGGCTCCATAGACGGTTTTTTTGCTTCTTTTTGCATATTTGGTCAACTCGGCGCCTGCAACTCCATTATCGACCGCTGTGACTTCCCAAATTCAATCGGACGTGTTGCTTTAATTGGGGAATGGGCAGTTTTTTTTTGTGAGGCATGTCCGCGCGCTACCAACGAGCTAGGGTAAACTCGCACACCCCAGCTTTACGCATTTCAAACGAATCTCCAACGCCCAGTCCCCTGAGCTACAACCCCCTGGCTCACAGATTTCCCGCTTAGCATTAAAAGACACGAACAAGCCGCGCTGCGACAGCCCCATTTAACTACCCCTTCTAACTATGATAGCACTACCTCGCCTTTTGACAAGTTAGCACCGCCCGTCCCAATCATTTTTGACACACGAAAACGTGTCCTACTCCGAAAACCTGAAAAAATTTCAAGAGAATAGTGAAAATTCCGCACCTCTGAAGAAGTGGTCGCTAGAGAGTCATCACTTCCAAGCGAACTCTCGCTGAATTTGTCATCATTCGATACTTGTTTCCGATCTTGCCTTCTCATGGATTTCTGATTTCGAGTGGAATGCCTCGATGTGCCCTCACAAATGTTCCGCTCCTCTTCTTCCTTCCGATGAATAAGGCACGTCTACGATCACTGGCGAGCCTATTTCGAATCCACTACTTGCAGGTGAAATAGTTCCTTCATTAGTACATGAATCGATATCTTCCTCCTCTCCTGATCTAGCTGAATGTTCCCTGTGTGAGTCTGATGCCCATATTGATGATCCTGACGAGTCACTTTCGCCTTCTTCAGTATCCTCTGCTGATTCCTGCGCTGTGCTGCCCATCAGAGTGTAAAGCGTAAAGCTTTTCGCGAGTATAGGTCCCGTTCCGATCTATAAAGCACTGATTTCATATGGCATAATAGGCTAAAAGCAGATAGAAGTGTATGCGCTTTTGAGAACCATGGGTATCGAGGCATAAACACAAGAATGAGCGATAGTGCTAGGATGTCACCCATATATAAGTGCAGAACCCTTGGTGGCAGAGGTCAATCGCCCTTCGCACTCATTCGAGCGATGAGCGGTCGCAGTTGTGATTTCGGTGGAGGGGGTGGGGGAATTCGAAATTTTGGCGGTTAGCAAGATTTCATAGTGGGAAGTGAGATCGGTAAAGGGGCTGCCTTTGGACGGTTTTTTGACGAAATTGGATTTGGTGAAAGTTTTACGAAAGTTGGGAGGGTTAAGCAAAATTGACGGATCTGCTGCTTCTTGATACCAATTTACCCCTCCCTCGATGTTCTTAAACGCTCCCAAAGCCGTTCGTTCCCTCCTGCTCAGCTGTAGAGCTAGATTATTTCATGATGATTTGAATCCGTTTGAACATCAAGAGTTTCGTTAGTGCAGAGACTTTAAATTCAAAGTCGAATCAGCCCGCAGTTCACTTGTTTGTGTTTTCGGGGGCATGAGACGATTCGTCAGCAAAGCCGGAGAGGTGTAGTTGCAGCGTCGCTTTTCTCACGTCTTCAGGATTGAGGATGAGGAAGTCGAGTTTACGAAAGGGAGGGTCCGGCAGGGTGCGGGGGAATCTGTGAGTATTATCTTTTATTCCATGGAGCGGAGTAAGACGAAATACGTCTGTTCTGACCAACGATCGCTATTGGACAATACCTATCGCGTATATCGGCCTCGATAAGTACACTTTTGCTTAGATGTCGTTATGGGTTTCATAGTTAGATGTCGCGTTTAGGTGACAGAGTAGTCGGTTAGGCCATGGATGGTAGGATACGTTATTGGTTTGCTGATCCGCCCATTGAGCAATGCTAATGCCCAATTCGCATCTCGCCAGCAAGGCGTCTCAGAGCAGGGTCAACCCTACGTTGTGACGAGTCACAACGGGGGGGTCGTACTGAATTGAGCTTGGAGGGGGGGGGTCGTAATTTTTTGGTGGCCGGCACTGAAAATTCTTGGTGATGTCCTACTGAGTATGGATAGTGGTACGAAGGAGAAGAGCAAACGCAGCAAAGAAAGTGTTTGTGAATAGTTATAGCAATTATGCAAAGCCTTCTCCCTGCAAGGACGCAGTCATGAAGTGGAAGATTGCAGCATCCTGAAAAAAGTACTCGCATTGTGACAGCCACGAGACCACATATGAAACTAATGCCTTTAGAGACCAGCATGATAGCCGGCACGATACGTTTGCGCAAGATTACTGATACTAGAGCATCTGTAAACCACGCTTCCCTCTGAATGAGCTTTCAAATGAATCAGCGAATTAGAAGGGCGCCCGAGGCGTGGCGCGCACCAAGGGAAGGGATGTAGTGCAAGCGCATGCTCGGAGCATTCTAGCACATCCTATTGCTTTGCGCGCCATAGAGGTCTAGGGCGCGGCGAACCATCATGTATGAAGCCTTCACGCGGAATCGCTACTCGATTCTTCGCTAACTCACTATTCGCCTAATCGCCTAATCTATACGTATCTTTTTCATTATAGACTAACGCGCAACCACCTGATCTCCTAATCGCACTTACGATCGCCAACTATGAACGCTTCATTACCGCTAAATCGCATGTGCGCGTAGTGTCGCCAACCTGGACGCTGCCTAAGAATGCGATATCTCGAAAGAGCAGACAAGCGACCACGAGTAGCCGCACAGAAGAGGAGAAAAGCGTTGTGGGCGTTCATATCCTTAGGGGGAACATCCAAAACAGGGCATTCGATTACCGCTGGTAGGTGACACTAGGACTAAGCCCAGGATTGGGAGGTTGCTCACATCGTCTCCCAGAATCCTCGCCCCTCCTTCTATGAGTGGCCCACTCACTTCAATGTTCCCCTAAGGACATGAGCGCTGCGTTGGAAGGACCGCTATAAAGCCAGGGCCACGACTGAAGATACCTCGGATGAGAGTGATTGATGGCGGCTGATAAAAACTGCGCACTTTGCAATCAAAGATTCACACTATGAAGAAGACGGCTGAAGAAGCGGCTCTGAGTTCTGCTCATTGTGGAAGAGGCCTACCTGCTTCTTGAGAGACCAAACGGACCACGAAACGTTAGGAAAGAGACGAGTGATGAATGAACATCACTGAGAATGGTGATGTTTTGATTGCTTATCATGCATTTGCAGGTTTCCCCACTCTAGATGAACAAACAGTGGCTACTCATCATTCACCTATACAGACCTTCTCCTGGGGCCGTATGCTATCCTCCCCGAAGGGGTTAGGGGACGAAAATTCCTTTAAATTTTCTCTGTCTTCCCAACTGGGATTACCCTGATAAAGGCCTACATTAATGTATGTATGTAGGTAAAAGTAAACATGCATTGAAAATGAAGAAACTACATCGTTCAAAGCAAATAAATTTAAAGGAAACTTTGGGTCACCTAGCTTCGGGGAAGGATAGCATACGGCCCCTAATTTCGTGTACTCAGTGAAGATGGCAACCATACTTGTCGGAATCGCTGAGCAGAATGGCCTGTCTCTGAATTTACACATACAGTAGCTTCTGCGCATGCTATGTGTTTATCGCGCAGCAGGCTCTGATTCAACTTTTCAGTATATGGGACACCAATTCTCACGACATCGGAGGTCAAGAAGGGGAAATCTACCTAGTGGAAAGACAGATGGACCCCTAAGGGTGCAGACCACACTCATGTGTGAAGGGATACGCCCTGGCGATCGTCGGTGGCCTTTCCCGCGCCACTAGCCACCGGCCGTGCCCACCCTCGGCGCCGTCTGCGCTCTAGCCGCCTTGTTTTTCTTTTTTTTTTTTTTTTTTTTTTTTTTTTTTTTCTCGTACGGGACAGTTAGCGCTATGCATAGTCGCACCCCTCAGACACGCTAAGGCCGTAAACTAACCGGCAAGAGGGTTCAAGGTTGTTTTTCTTGGTTTTTTCTTCATTGCATCACTGACATCTACCTTGATTTCTAGTGGCTGTCTTTTCATCGTGAACTCTGCCTTTGATGTCGGCCACATCGATCTCCCATCACTAAATTTCATCTTTCTCGTCAGCGCGCGACTCAAAGAGCCCAGAGGGGCAGGTGAGGGAACAATCAGAACAAGGAAGATGGTAAGTGATACTAGGACTAAGCTCAGAATAGGGGAGAGTCACCAGAAAGTACATAAATTGCTCATATGCTCCTTCCGAATCCCTCCCACGAAGCTAGCCCCAGTATTGTAATGTTGCCCCACTCACGTGCACTGTGCGCACTCCCAACGACGACAAGGGCGCGTCAACGGCCATCCATGTACTATAACCGCAGAGGTTTGTAACTCCCTACGTGAACTTTCCCCCGAGCTCCTTTTTAGCCTGTTACATATTACCTGTCCGATTCTACTATATATGATAGCTAACATAGGTCCAATCACTCTTGTTTGAACTCGGTCGAACGCCGGTTACAGCGCCACTCACCATCCGATGCCTACTAGTCACTATCACCTGGTATACCCACTTGGTGCTTCACAAAGCACTTCGCCCTTCCCCCCCCCATAACAATATATGAGGTGCGACTTACTACGCGTCAGTGCAAATGAGTGGAACGAAGTTGGTGGCATATCATCTGTTAAAACACTCTTGAGCTAGGGGAGCGAAGTTATGAATTTCCGGCCAGACAGACGGCTTGACAGACACACACACATAAAACCGCTTATGGAACCCGTTTAAAGTAGGTGATCGCAAGTGCGACTGGGCGGCCGACCTGTCGATGGTGGGCCAGTAGGCGGGATAGGCATGGAAGCGATAAAGAAAAAGTTTGCGTACCGTTTGTTTGCTGGCCGCCCACTGAGCACGCACCTAGGGCGCCTAATACGCCCTTCAACCTCTAACATACGGATCTTTCAGGGCTTGCCAAGCTTTTTCAGAACGGTATTTTGCATTGTATAGGGGCACATGTAGGAACCACAGAACATGGTTAATTTTTCCTGAACGGCCCTCTAAATACCAGAAAAGGGGGTCCCTGGATCGATTCCTCGTGGTGACAAATTTTTGCATTTCGAGTTTCCGTTTCGAAATTCGCGCAAAATGGGATCGTACTTATGAGTATGGCATTCATTGTTTATGCTAACTCCATTTTGCACGAATTTTGAAGCGTCAACTCGAAATGCAAAAATTTGTCACCACGAGGAATCGATCCAGGGACCCCTTTTCTGGTATTTAGAGGGCCGTTCAGGAAAAATTAACCATGGTTCTGTGGTTCCTACATGTGCCCCTATACAATGCAAAAACCGTTCTGAAAAAGCTTGGCATGATAAGGCGGAGCAAACCAATCAAACACTGTATGTAGTTTCCCCGCCTGGGTCACCTCAATCCACGTACATCGCCAACTCTTAACGTCATTGGCATATAAGAGAGTCGAATGTGTACACGCTCTTTGTAGAGCCGCCCCCCCCCCACATGCCATTCACCTTTTTCGAAGTGCGATCGTTACGTGGTCTTCAGAACTGAACCTGCCTCAAACAAGGTTATTCAATGAAATCGAATTGATCCAACAACAGACGGAAACAAGAAAAATTGAGTTAAGGAATGTTTATTCTTAACGCAGAAGAGGTAAAAATGTTCGTAGATTTCATTTCATATTGCATAAAGTCTTGAGTAAAGTTATAAACTATTCACGGTTTCTTAAGCGTGATCGTCATCCTTGCTTTCGTGGGTACCTAAATTGCATAATTGTGATGTTGGAAAAGCCATTCGATAAATATGCCACTACCCAGTAGTGTTCGATTATACTATCAACACATTGACGACAGTGAGACGCCGTTGCGCGTCTCACAGATCGCGCTCGCAATCTACCCATGTCTCACGTGGCCAAAAAGCCAATACAAGCGTTGTCGTCAAAGTGTAAATTGCCAAA